GAGAGAGAGAGAGAGAGAGAGAGAGAGAGAGAGAGAGAGAGGGTTTATCGCCCTCACATGACCATATCCCTCTTGATGACATGCTGCTCAGCTTTAATCCTTTGCTCTATTTTTCATCCCAAAAACTCAAATCCCAACATTTGCCCACATTGGGTCAAGAGACACAAATGCCCACTGCGCCTGAATCAGGTTGCAAGTCATTTTCCCCCTTTTTTATTGACCTACTTTTGTTGTAAGATTATAGTAACTGTCATATTTGCATGTATATTTATTAATCCTCACAGCTAAGCCTACAGTGATTGTTTTGACATTTTTGCATGCTGTTGAGCATTAATTGCTTTTATCTTGTAAAAGGCTAGGTTAAAAACATGTCCCTGTTGAAAAAACCAGCATATGTCGGTTAGGTATGTTTCGACGCTGGGATGCTGGTTTATGCTGGTCCTTTGCTGGTTTAAGATGGTCCTTTACTGGTTTATGCTGGTCCTTTTGCTGGTTTATGCTGGTCATGTGCTCATCCCAGCGTCAAAACATACCTAACCAGCATATGCTGTTTTTTTCAACAGGGGTAGTTCGTAAGTAAAGACAATTTTGAAGAAAGGAAAATTGTTCTTTTTCATTGAGTCTCTTAATAATTAAGGCATCATTGAGTGACTACGCTTCTTTATAATGCAGCGATTCGCAAATAAACTAACAGAGATTAAACAGACAGTAATGGATGAATCTAAAATGCGACAAGCATAGAAACATCACAGGATTTAATGTTTTGTAGCTGGAATTTACAGTAAAGTGTGTGTTATCTGGTTGCTGTGATCTCAATAACTAAATGCTCTGGCACAGTTTGCCAATGATAGCCAACCCTCTGATCCACATCGTCAGGGCAGACTGAACATGTGTTTTACGGCTAAACACATATTGTTTTAATCTGCCTGCAGTTTAAGACAGATTTCCACATGATAATACTGACGGTTGTGCTCCTGCTGGGGTGGTGTGGCCCATCTAGCGTTTTCACACACACTGAGGTATGCGGTCTGCTTTCCTGTGCCATCTGCATGCTCTGAGAGTCTTCGCAGGCCTGTTGCCATGTCTGTTTGCACTTAAAGCAATAGCAGGTTGGACAAATTACCAAGGGCAAACATTTAACAATTTCTGAGCTCACATTTGTTGCATTGGTACATACTGTGCTGTTAAATTGCAACAACCACTGGAATAGACGGTTTCAACGGCAACAACATAAACAAACGTTACTGCACATGTGCACTTTTGTGGCCCTAACTAAACTTCCAGTAGACTTCCAAATAGAATCAATAACAATGGATAAATCCCTCTAGAGTAGATTATGTTTCATAACATGCAAAATATATTTGCTGCGTAAATCAGATGGACTTATTGAAAATGCAAATTCATTCTCTGCCAGCAGGAGGTGCTTTAAAGTGGGAGAAATAGAGGTTTCCCCAGTAAAGGCTGTACACAAAGCAGTGGCTTACAAACGCTGCTTGATCAGGCATATAATATGCAAGATGAAATGAAAACGACATAGAAAATTTTCTAAATACAGTCTTCCTTCAGAAATAGTGATATAAAAACACCCGCTCCTCGTTTTGATTTTTAAACGTGCAGTACGTGCTCATGTTTATTCAACAAAGACTTTTGGAAAATCGGTCTTGATCGGTTTTGATATTGTGGTGGGTCGCAACAAATAAGTATGGGAAATACATCCCACAACACAACTACCTGAGCCCAACTTCCTTACTCATCACTTTAACTGCGTTTGTAGCCGGCACCACTAGCTAGAACGATAAACAAAAACAAACATTTAACCGGAAGTTAAATTTGGGCCAGGCGCGTGCGCCAGATGAAACCGTCTATAGGCAAACACTGGAATTGGATTGAGTCCAGTTTCAATCTGCAAGTTTAGTAAGTCACTACATGTTCTGAGCATTGCATCATGATTATCTACATTAAGCCATTACATTTTTTTTGTACAAACTTGCCTCATTCCTTCAACTATGGGCACCCTTTTTCTCCCAATCTTCTTCTTCTTTTTTTTTTTTCATTATTTCCGAAACCCAACCACGGTGTTACTTCCACTATATCTCAAAACATGCATTCTGTTCATGCAAAGTTCATGCAAAATCATTTAGTGTGGTGGAACTGTCATCATTTTTATTTTCACAAGATAATTATTGAAGTGGTTTATGCTTACTTCAGCCTTTGTTTAGATGATTATACATTTTTATAGTCAATTTTCATATTGGACAATTAAAGGTCTGGCAATGGGATTAGAATAAAACAATAATCTACATAATAAAAATAATTTTACATTTAGAAAATCTGAATGATGAGGGCTTGATAAAAAGTCTCCAAGTCAGTTAATGTGATCTTATATAACATTTCATATAAAATCCTACTTTTAATATAAATGAGCCCCCAGGACAAGTGTCTGAAGTTGAAGAAACACCCTTCTCTGTAAATAAGACCCATTATAAATTGTGCCTTATTCACAAAACTCTGCAATTAATTTGTTAATTTACAATTACTGCTTTTTAAAATCTTTTTTACTGAATGTTGGAAAAGAGCTTCATATCACGCATTTCCAGGTGTAGTCAAGCACATTTCATTTCAGATCACAGTAGTCTGCTAAATCCTCCACAACCGGCTTGCAAACTAGGGAAATGCGGATATGCAGAATACACATTGAATTTAGCACAGCTTCTTGGCAATATTTGTACATTTAGCAGATTTGCATAATTTCTTTAGGTAATCAGATAGCATGGACAAATAAATGCTGTCATTGGGCGCTATTCATTCTTAGTGAATTCCCTGTAAATGAGTAAATGCAGCCATGCTGTGAGGTGCTGAGAGCATGTCAGTCCAAGTTTAAGCCCATCATTTACCCCCATCGCCCCCAGCGAATTAGCCATTTCTCTTTCGTTCCGCCCCTAATTACGGAACACTCCCACAGCTCAGTGGTGCAATCCGTTATCAGACACGTCTATTAATCTGTGGACACGACTGGGGCCTGATGAAGCCAAGACAGGCCGTGACGGCCCTGACAGCCATGCCTGCGGTCAAAGCACATGACAGGCTGAGCAAAACCCCCTGCTCTGAGATTAGAGGTCCACTAGCTTCACATTTATCACATCAGTTTTCCCTTGAGCAGCCGCTGACTGGCTTCTCATTAAGGGCACTTTTTAGGCCTACTGGTTGCCAGAAGGCCAGAGATACAGAAACATCCTTCACCAGCCCTCCAGCCCTGAGCACCCCTACTGATCCAAAGGTGATCTGATCATACAGCCCGATCTCCTGTCGCTACCGACTATCTCTAAATCTTTATAAAGGAGCACTGAGGCACAGGGCTGGTGTGATCAGTCTAAAGGGCTTGGGTTTGATCACGAAATGCAATAAGTCAGGCAATCAGGTTTGGGTCCACTGATTCCCTGCCTGACTGGATGCCTTTATATTCATGCCCTGAATAAATTGAGATGCTTGTGGAATTATAGACTATACACAACACGAAAAGAGTAATCTCTCATAACCACAGCACTAAAGTCTCTTGGCAATTCAGTGTGCATTCAGAAAGTATAATCAGTTTTGAGACGTATTCTAATACCTGCTGGTGAGTCTACGGTGAGAGTAATCCCAAATAGGTCTTAACACTGAAGTACAGTTGAAAAAAGAAACTTGACCGTTTAGAATCAAGAAATGTTCTGTTCTAAATAATAGAAATAAAAATTTCAGTTTAAAAGGTTCAACTCTTGAAATTGCAGTGTACCTTCACTTGTCTGTAACGTGCAGGATCTGGATATTTGATGAAAAAAAGTATAATTTAACCTAGAACAATGACTATATTAAAAAAATCAAAAGATGGATGTCCCTGCAAAAGGTTTGAAGTGAAAACAATATCTGTAACATATCAAGGCACACAATGATGACATAAACTGTCACTCAATCATTATTCCTTGAGTGATAAAATGAGCAAAGTAATTACTGATAATCAAAACATCATTATTATTCATTTTTTTCTAGGTTGACACATTCAATTGCATTAGTGGCCCTATTTGAACACTTACATTTTCTAAACATTTTTGCAAACGTAGCAAGTTGATATTGCAGGGCTTTTTAGTGTAAATTGTCAGTACCCTGCAAGTGGTCAAAGGTACCCAAACAGGTATAAACAGGTAATAACTTTTGTATTTATTTATTTGTTTGTTTCACTCGAAAGTGTATGTATGCTATCTTGATGTAAAATAAATATCATATGCTTTATTAATGCAAAGAGTACCCACGTTCTTAAGTATGACACAAGTGTCTAAATATTTTTTTGGGGCCACTGCATATCATGATTAATTGAAAAAGTTTATGCTTAGCATGCTTGTGTACAATCAGTAATGTTGTCTAGTTCCAATGTGATAATTTCACAAATTAATGAAATGTACTTTGAGGTGTAATTTAACTGCATATGCATGTGTTTGGAGGTGTATGAGGTAGGGTGAATGACATTAAACAGTATTTGAAACAGGAGTTAACATGACACAGCATTCAAAACCCATTTTACTTTTTTAATGCAACATGCTTTCAGTCAAACTTGACGTTCAACCAGAAAAAAACTGCAAAAATGTAACTGCAAACATTTTTCAACTTGTTTTTTTAGTAAACATATCCAGATAAATGTACTTTAACAATTTACCTTGAATGTGTAAAAGGAAAGTAAACAGGGTCAGTTTTGATTTTTTTTTATGTTTTCTTAAAAATTGATTACTAAAATAAATTACATCAAACTATTGGCCAGATATGTTTTCAAAATCAACGGTAAACATTCTTACCTTCATTGCAGTAACGACCTACATATCCTGTGTTGGAGCAGTCACAGTAAGCTTCACCGTCAGCCATGCTGCAACTGCCTCCATTTTCACAGGGGTTCTCCGTACACAAGCCTTCCATCTCTAACCGGACCTTTTGGCTCCCTAGGCGTGTTGGAACCTGATTCCCGTAACCCAGGTCTGTAATAATCCCCTTGAACGGTGGCATCTCCTTAGCCGCTGGAAGTGTTAGGGCAGATGTCCGAATGTCTTGAGGCACTCCTCCAAGATACAGGTCACTGACAATCTTCATGAACTGCCTTTGCGGTCTCACCTCATCCAACTTTGACTCTCCGTCCAGTGCCAACACGGTTCGCAAGTTGTGCCTACTGATGGTGGCAAAGTGCCAGCGACTGTCGTTTACCATCTTGTTGGAGGTTATAGTGGTTTCTGCACAGTCCACGCTAAAACGCAACTTCAGCTTGCCTTCCTCAATGCTCAGGAGCAGGAAGTCACAATATCCTCCATCATCAAAGTAGAGAACCAGAGCATCTGATATAGCTGTTTTGAACTGAAATCTGAGGTCACTTCTGGTGCTGGCATCCCAGCGTAGATAGCGTGCCCACTGACCCTCTGAGCCTGTGAACTCCAGACCCAAACCAAGACTCAGGAAGGTGCTGAGCAGTAAGAGTACACAATGGGGCCAGCAAATGGGAGGCATGGTAACCAATGGTTTTGCTACAAGAGTGCACTGAACAAAATAAAATTCCTCAGTTATGTTTTCTGGCAAATTATGTGAAGATCACTGAAGAAACGTCAAATCCTTTAGATAACAAACATATGAGTGAAGAAGGTGTGGCCATTGAGGTTCTTGACGCATGCTATCCTAAATCCTGTTAGGGGTACCAGGATGAATTCCAAAAAGACCAAATTGCCTTTAGATTAGAAGTGAACAAATGATCAGCTTCTGCTATCTAGATAGGCTTTACTGATGATGTTCCCTTGAGTCGACTTTCTGGATTAAAACAGAGATGCTCCATATTGGTTCTGATTATATTATATCGCCACATGTTAATGGCCACATTGGCCCTTCTTTTGACTGATCTGTGAAGATAAAGGAAAAAAATGACACATTGTCATTAGGTTCATTACACATTATACAGAGAAATATACTATACACAGTGGGCAATGTTACATTCCATTATGTTTCCTTAGACCAACTCAAATGTTTTCAAACTGTGTCCTGGGACCCTCAGAGGGTGCCAAATTTGAAAGGAAAAAAATTACACAAATGTATTTGTCAGTGTTTGATGTAATATATTTACCCAATCATTGACAGTATAATTTTATATTACTATTATTATTAGAAATCATGAGAATATGATTTATTTATTCAACTGACCATTTTTGAAAAACAATAATAAAGAATGACATATTGTTTTATGAAACAATATGTAAGTCTTTATAATATCAAATGTTTTTCTCACATTTTCACACATATTACACTTTTTTTTTCCACACATGGCATTTATACGTAAAATATATCTTTATATTTTAGTTAGGGATCCTTTGCAAAGAAATAATTTTATCTGAGGGTCTTTGGCCTTAGATTACACCAAGATCTACTCCAAGATTCTCCTGGAAAAAATATTTGAGCTGCCCAACATGGCAATTTCTGTCTTTTTTCACATTATTACTTTATTAGGACCAAAGGCAAATGTGGAGATTGGAAAACCTGTGTAGATACATTCATTTTGCAATTATGTTTGATGCCACTAGTGGCTTAGAAATACACACTTTACTTTTAAAAGCGTTTATTGTTAGATCTATGCGTTGAAAATATATTTTTGGACAGGCCAACAGTAATGCCTTTTACTCCAAAATAAAGCTGCATTTGCATTTTGGCAAACACAAGAAGTCACAAAAGCCACTGTCAAATATTTGCTATTTATGACACCTAAGTACTTACAACACACGCGGTCAGTTGACAGATGTCTGACGGCGAGATAATGTACATGTGTGTAGAATTCCATCCCTCCCTGCCCTGGCTGCTGCTTTGGCACGGAGCCCCCAGAGACAAAAGCCTCCCCAATCGTAGCTGTTCCACAGCGGTGCAACACAATAGCCTCTTTAACTACCTGCCCTGAATAGTTAATCTCTCCCTGGCAGCCAGCTATTGAATTAAGGCAACTTATACCAACACCGATGCGTTGACCGTCTCTTGAGCGATAGTGGGTCTTGTCTGTATTTCAACAGAGAATGAGCACTCCGCAAGATTTGAGAAGAAAGGTGAAAAGGGTGAGCCGAGAAGAAGCAGAGCCGAGCAGACCGTGGCCACGGTCAAGACATTTACCATGCATGCCACACTAATAGGCAAGGCATCATGGAGAACGGGTTTTAAGAAGGACTTCCTGTTCAGTCTGCTTTACTGGGAATGGGCTGGCCTGAAACCTGATCCTCACACGCGGCACATGACAACTGGCCATTGGTCTGGCAGCAATCACACAGAGGATTTATTACAAACACAATACAGACTATTGGGTTACAAATGATATAGATCCGATCAGAACTCTCCAGAGGCAGTAGTCTATGAGGATTCTTGTTCAAAAGACATTTGGACAGGCTTCTTGGACAGTGCTGTTTTGGGCATAAGCATAATACATCCCATTTAATAAGCAAAAAATGAAGAACTAAGATTAGAGATGGGGAATTAGACTCTGAACTATGTGTTCTGCCATATGCTCTGTAATCCATAGAAAATGCACTCAAACGGAATAAATGTTGCATTTGGTTCCCAAAAGGCAAAAGTGCATGAAAAGCTTACACATAACTATCTGAGGAAAAGTCTTCCATCTGCCTTGAATGATTTACAATCATTTCCAGCATGTTTTATTCTCTGTGAGCAAGGCCAAGATGCTGGGTACAGGAAACAACAAATATATATGCGGATTATGTCTCCATATGCGCTTTCTCCAAAGTCATGTCAATCTCAGCTGGGTTTCTAAAATGTATCTCAAATTCTCAATATCAGAATTTTTTCTTATCGAAAAGGCAATTTGACACCAAGTCATCCAATACCTCCTGACATGCATTCCCAAAGAACAAAAAATGAACAAGCCCTAGTAACCTGCAGTGTAACAATAATGTGCAGCAGCTTGGGCGTTGTGGAATAGAAATTATTCATCACACACCGTGTTTCAAATGGAATTCCCAATTAAATTGATAGTTTACTCAAAAAAAATTGATTCTATCATCATTTACTCACCCTCATGTCTTTCGAAACCTGACTTTCTTTCTTCTGTGGAACACCAAAGCCGTTATTTATAGAAGAAAGTTGAAGCTGGTATTTTTCATACACTGAAAAAGACTGCAAAACAGCTATCATATGTCGTCGGAAGAACTGTAATATAGGGCACAGGTCTTATGAGCTACTTCTATTTATGCCTTTTTTTTTTTAAGTTTGACAGGCCCTGATCTCCATCCAGGTCTCCAAGAGAGTAGCTCAGACATACTGACAAACATCTCCTTTGGTGTTCCATGAGAGAAAGAAAGTCACACACACCACACACACCTATTTTCTGTAATAAAAAGGGGAAAATAAATATATAAATAAATAAAGGCATAGGAGAAGCTAGAAAAAGGGATAGTGAGTGAGCGGACCAAAGCTCTAAGAATATACTGTATAAATATATATATATATATATATATATATATATATATATATATATATATATATATATATATATATGTGTATATATATATTTATAAAGAGCGTACGTGTAT